CTTGCATCTAACATTTAAACCAAGAGAATATCTTCTGGTTATCTCAGAGTTTGGTAATCAATGGCTCTCCAACTCAAACTGCTGGAAAATGAGCATAGAAAATCTGGCAGGCAGGAAAAGGTGGGATAACAATTTAACGACCTTTGGAAAATGGACTAAGATATTTTAGGTAAATAATAAATTGGCCAGGAAATTTTATTCCTTAGGATACTACCTTTCTCCCAGAAATTTACTTCTTGATTTGCTGACCCAGTTAATTCAAATTTAATTACTCTGTCTTTGGAGCCAGCGCTGTGGCACAGGGGGCTAAAGCCCCAGCCTGCAGTGCTGGCATCCCATATGGGAGCTGGTTCTAATCCTGACTGCACCACTTCCGATCCAGCTCTCTGCTATGGCCTGAGAAAGCCATAGAAGATGGTCTAAGCCCTTGGGCCCTTGCACCCACGTTGGGGACCCGAAGGAAGATCCTGGCTCCTGGCTCTTGGCTCTGGATCGGCGCAGCTCCGGCCACTGTGATCATCTGGGGAGTGAGCCAGCAGAATGGAAGACCTCTCTCTTTCTCTCTCTGGCTCTACCTCTCTCTGTAACTCTGTCTTTCAGATGAATAAAATAAATCTTTTTTTAAAAAAAAATTACTCTGTCTTAGATAAGAAAAGTAAACCAGTCAGTTACTTGTTAAGGAAAGTCTTCACAGATAAATCCATATTTTTTTCATTTTATTTGTCAGATTGCTCAGAAACTACATAATACATGGAAACAGCTAACTCTAATCATTTAAAACCATGAGACAAAAAGGACAAGAAAATTTTACTTTCAAGGACTGTTTCCTGAGATCCTTTGACACAAATTCAAAGAGGGAAGTAGAGAAAAATATTTATGTAATCTTTATTGATTATATCTAATAATTAGCTTGGAACAATTACTACTTTTATATGAATTAGCTTAGTTAAAATTGAGGGGGAAAAATGAAAACAATTTTTTTATTTTGGAGGAGGCTGTTTTTTATATCCAAATGTTAATAAACTGAAAATCCAAAAAAGAGTAGGTATGTGTCCTAGCAGTTAAGAAGCCATAGGATGCTCTCCAGCCACGACACAGTGCCAATGTTTAGTATCTGGTTCTGCCTCCTGATTCCAGCTTTCCTCTATTACAGACCCTGGGACATAACTGTGATGGCTCAAATAACTGGTTTACTGCTGCCCACATAGAAGACCTAGATTGAGTTCCTGGCTCCTGACTCCAAACCCAGCCCTAGCTTAGCCCCAGTCCAGCCCCCTCCATTGCGGGCATTTGGGGGAATGAACCACGGGTTCATTATTTTTTTTTTCTCTCTCAAATAAATAAAAATAATTTTTAAAAAAAAGGAAATCCAAGTGAAAAAAAATACAGAAACCACCAGCAAAACACAAGAAGCTGAAAACAACAGACAAATAACAGTGAATTCCAAATTTTAAATCACCTTAAAACATCACTGAAGAATAAAGGTACCTGCTTAACATTTACTTGAAAACAAGGATTCTTGAGATAAAGGTAAAAAACTTCAAAAACTGAAATATTAATAAATAAAATATCGCAACATACATTCTCAGATTCTACTCTAAATAATCTAGGCAATCAAAAGCCTTGAGGCCCACGCTGTGGTACAGCAGGTTTAGCCACAGCCTGCTGCTCCACTTCTGATCCAGCTTCCTGCTAATGCACCTGGGAAAGCAACGGAAGACATCCCAAGTTCCTGGGCCCTTGTCACCCACATGGGAAATCGAGAAGAAGCTTCTAGCTCCTGGCTCCTCCTTCCTGACTTCGGCCTGGCCTACCTTTGGCTGTTGCAGTCACTTGGGGAGTGACCCAGCAGGTGGAAAATCTCTCTTTGTCTCTCTCTCTGTAACTCTGCCTTTCAAATAAATAAATAAATCTTAAAAAAAGACACTCTACTCGAACAAGTCAAATAACTGCAAAGAAACTATCAAACGTTTAACATGAAAACTTACCACTTCACTAATATAAACAGTATAAAATCTAAAATAAAAATATAACAGTAATACGGTATACCCACTAAACTGATCATAATAAATTCTTTTATTAACTAAGTAGCTGAAACTAAAAGAAGCTAAACAACTCATTTCATTTATTATTGACAACGTCCCAAAAGCTAGTTATAATTATCTCATATTTTACCAATGAGGAAATGGAGAGTCAGAAAGATTCTAATACACTTCCTCAGCATGTAACTACCAATAACATGGGTAAAAATTTTAACCCATTTGTGTAACTCCAAAGATCTCTTCCTTTCCCTCATAACACTTTAAGGAAAACACAAAGAAATGAAATGAAAAATGCTCAACTTCACATCTGGTAAGGTCATGGGGAAAAACTATATCCACGGATTGTTACAGGCATTACAAAAGTCTATCTAACAGGAACCTTATGATGCACGATGAGATACAAGGTGATTCATATCACAAGGAAATAATTCATCGTATATTCCACAAATAAATAAGGCAACAGCACTAACAAAAAATATTTCCATTGTGGGAACTGCAATGAAGAAAAATAATTGTAAACATCTGAAATGTCCAATAGAGCATTTCAGAATTTCATTGGAACAGACTTCCAGACAGCCCACCATCCTGCCATTTTTATTGCCACAGAATACATGGGGATGTATATGAAATAGTCTTAAGTGACAAAAGGATACATAATTTAGCATACACTCATCATAACTACAGTCATGCATGGCATAATGATGCTTCAGTCAAGGACAGACTGCATATGCACTCTATGATGTTTGCACAATAAGAAAACTGCTTAATGACATATTTCTCAGACGGGTCCCTGTAGTTACTGAGGTGTGAGTATAATTCCATGCCTGTCACAAGACCGCAACAACAACTCTGATAAGTATGCCTTCTATTCACAGAATGCATTCTACTTCACACAGCATTTCTGCATTTCATTTATCACCCTTTAAGGAAGGAATTACTATTCCACAGGACTATAAGGGAAATAATTTCACAAAAGGCAATTGGAAGAATTCAAAGCAGAATTCCAATCTCCCAGGCTAGTGGTAGTCTTTCCTTTGTGAGGAATAAGGAATAAAGAATAGCTCACAACTGCAAAAGAGCTCACCGCTCTCATAGGTCCCAGCAGGCCGGGAAGAAGCTGTTGTCAAAAGAGGAAATCAGACCTCTGCACACGCATTTGCCCCACTCTGCATATTAAATGGTACCTTTCCACCTTAAGAGCCTGACCTCCCTGACAAAGTGGCAGAACATCTGTGTAATAAATACTGATCTGACTGGTAAGAACACTATGCACTGTCCTTTAACTATGAGAATTGAAATTCTTTACAACAGCACCTTAAACATAAATTCTATATGCTCCACGGATGTAACTATTCTATAATTAGGATAGATAGTACAAAGTAATCAACATATAACATTTTATATCTCCTTAATTACGTAGACCAAAGATATATAAAAATCAGGTCTATAAAATCTCACAGTATCTCACATATAGTAGGGAGTAAAAAATATTTTGATATATTTACCAAAAGCAGAAATCAAACCACAAAAGTCTAAACATATTTATAAACATGAATATTTTGAAAGCCTTTAGCTGCTTCTATCAAATGCTCACATGTAGAACCCTGAGAAGTATTGATTCTACAAATTTATTTTGACATTCCTGTATTGTGATCACCTTGTGATCAGCTGGCACAGAAACAGACATACTGGCATCCAAGGAAAGCAACAATCTAGTCTTTCAAAACTTTTTATGGAATGCTAATGGAAGCATAGCAAGTAAGAAGATTTTCCTCTTGATTATTATCTATTTGCCAAAGGTAAGAAGAAAATTTAGATGTTTCATCATACCATCAAAACTCACCAAACAAAAGGAACATTAGGGAGGGCAGGGTTTAGAAGAAACAGAATTTTTGGCACACGTGAACTTGGAAAGTTACTGAACTTCTCACTGAAAATGTCACTCTGGCATTCTTCAAATTTATTTTATTTTAAAAAGAATTAAATTATTTCCCCAGAGCAAAGTTCTTCAACAATTCCCACAATTTTAGAAGGAATGTAAACATTCACTGATGTATTCAATCTCCTGTTAATGATAACACTGAGATTTTCTTACTGATAGGAGCCTGTCAAGTTATCTCAACAAGATGAATATACAATCAAGGTTCCAGTGTTAAAGTTTCAAAACAACTAAGGCCCCAAGTTATAACTGAGATGGTACATTAGATGATGTCAACCATTTCCAAGGCAATCAGGTTAAAAAAATTTAAAAATGTTTTTGGAGGAGGATTAACAATACTAAGGTCAAAATATAACAGAATGAAATAAAATATATCTTTATGTTTAAACAAGTCCTAGATGAAGGTTATTTTTAAGGTGATCCTATTATAAAATAATGCATCAAACAAAATTTTCTTTTTTGCTATCTAAACAAATATTCAAGATTTACTTCCTTATTTTCCATAGTCAAGTTGCATATTTTTATGAAGCAAATCAAAATCTCAAATTATTAAAAACTATCATTAAAGTTCAGCTGCATATAGTTCTCCCTAATAACATTAATTTTAAATTAATTTTTATAACATAATTGTAGAAATCATGCTTTTAGTCCCCAAATGTCATGAGAAAATGATTTGATTGCTTCTGTCTCAAAAATGCATTTCACTAGCAAAAGCAGATCAATGAAAATAAATAGCTAAAAAAACCCTGTTTTATACACAGGCCCCAAAAGCAGCTCAAGAATTAGTATCATAAAACGTTTCTTGAATTAACCAAGTCCATTCATTTTTTTACTACTATTTACTATCATCATTGAAAGGCTTGTGAAACAGTGATTATTATTTCAAATATTTTGCTGATTAAGTAAGTATACCTTATAATGAGCAAAAAAAGTGGTTTAGTGATAATAAAACACAACAAAAATGTCAATGGTAATTAAATCCGAGCCATGCCCTTTTCCCCTTATTCATCACAATATACCTTCTTCTCTCATTGGCTCATTGGCTGATTCTCCTCTTAGACTCAGCATCCTGGAGAAGCCATTAGACAGAGTAGAGAAAATGCCACGGATAAAATATCCCTGCTCTTCAGCCTCCACTGGCCCCACTGAAGCCGGCCACGCTCTAACAACTCTGATACCGCAGCGGGGTTCCGGTTCTGAAACAGATCTGGTGAATGGAGACCGAAGTGACTGGGTGCTGGCCGGGTTCAGCTTCTCTGCTGATGTTCCGAGGACCTCCTGAGCAGAGGCCGCAGCTTCATCAACCCTCTTTGGCAGGACGTTTTGCTGTGCATCCTCCAGGTCTCTTGCTCTATGTTGCAATCTCTCTCCTTTGCCCCCCTTCCATCTAAAGCTGGGATGCTTTTGCCACCGATAAGCACACAGTGGCTTTTCTAGACTGGAAACAGCATTTTCACTTTTCTTCCTCTTGCTTTTCACCGGACCACACCATGGATAAATCTTTAAGCTCGTTCCTACCTCTGAATCTGCATAAGCAGGTTCTGATAAAGATCTTCGATAGCTTGGAGGACAAGGGGATGTTTGTTTCTTGAAGATGCTCATCTTCCACGACTCCATTTTTTATCAGCTCCTCCAAACTTTAAGTTTTCTCCACTCTGCAGTCTTTATAGCTGAACCACACTTGTCCGTGCAGTCCAAAACATTCGAGTGCTTCAGTGGCTTTCTTTGTGTGGCTTTGAACCACAGCAGATGTTGCTGCTTCAGAGCTGGTGTCATGTTATTTCTCCATCTTCCCAGATCTCCAAAATTTCAGCAGCACCTAAAAACCTCTTGCCTGAAGCAAATTTTCTTTAGAAAGTAAAGCTTTCCAAAAGATCATCATCTCACTTCCTGGAGTAAGTAACATTTCTGTACTAGGTTTTCAGGAAATGATTTTCAAAAAATAAGAAGTGAAATAAAAGCAACCAAAACCCACAAACACCTTTATGGACCAATAGTAGTTAAGTGTTCACTATGCAAAACAGGTTAAAAACAGACTGTGAAAGTACTCAAGCTGACATCCACACTTTCCAGAAGAAGAAGAAAACCTAGTTCGAAAGTCTGCTCCTCAAGTGAAACCTCCACGGCAGCGTGTTTAAGGTTTACACTTTAGAAACTTATTTTCAGCCAAGTCCACACTATTCAAACTATACCATCACTCAAAGTTAATGCTGCTTTTCCAACAATAGGTAGCTATATACTGCTTATTCAAGCTGGTCATGCAAGAGGAAGGGGGGGAAAGCCCAAAGAAAGCCAAAACATAAAGCCATTTTTAATGCAAATATACTAGAGAGAATTTAAAAAGCATAAATGTGTAGGAAAAAAAGAGCAGAGGCAGAGGGTATTTGTTACAAACTATAGCAAAAGGAAAAGGAACATTTTGAGGCGAGTTCTTGTGGCAAATGGAACCTAAGAACATACATACTTAAATAATTTCTAGAAGAGGAAAGTTTGCTATGTAAATCTAATTGGGATAAGTTGGCCAGAAAAATATTCCTGGTTTAACCAAGAAATTCCTTTATTCCTCTTTGTACTCCTCACAATTTTGAAAAAGAACTATTTAAAATTTTGTTAAAGTAAGTACCTCATATTGAACCAAGATCATGAATTCCAAGTTTTTAGCTAGTTTTTTTTATTGAACTGTGCTTACAAACCCCTCAAAATAGGGGTTTTGAATGGAAAGCATGAAAGATTTCAGACCACCAATAAAACAGATATCACATGGCAATCAAAATTACTTTGATTTCATCTAGCAAACAAAACAAATTCATTTATTTTCAGAATGTGTACAATGAAAAACAGTTCTCACATTATTCTCTTATTATAATAATAGTAAAGAAATTTAACATATTCCTTTAAACATATGAAAAATGTTCTATCATTTCATTACCACAGCACAATAACCTCATTTTCATTGGTTTATATAGTGTCTACATATTTAAAAACATATTTCACATTAAATATTGATATACATGTTTTTTCAAGAGTTTAATATATATAATTAGAGGTTCTTGGGTAAGGCATGTGGCACAGCAGTTAAGACGCAACTTGGGATGCCTACAACCCATATTGAAATGACTGGGCTCCAGCCCTGGCTGTGCTTCCAATTCCAGCTTCCTGCTGATTCACACCCCAGAGGCAGCAGATGACGACTCAAGAACTTGGGTCCCTGCCACCCATGAAGGAGACTTGAATTAAGTTCTGCGCTCCCAGATTGGGTATGGCACAGTCCCAATACCAGCATATGAGGAGTGGATTAGCTCTTTCTGTCTCTATCTCTGCCTTTCAAGCAAAATGGAAAAAATATAAATTTTTTAAAAATTAGAAGATCATGTAAATGTAAAATTTTCCTCTTACTAAAAAGAAAAACCTAGAAATGTGAATTTTACAGAGAAAGAAGTATCAAACGTAAGTTTCAATCTCTATACCACAACATCCACAAAAATTGAGCTAAGATAGAAAATAAACCTAAATGTAAACTAAAACTATAAGGCCAGCGCTGTGGCTCACTTGGCTAGTCCTCTGCCTAAGGCGCTGGCACCCTGGGTTCTATTCCTGGTTGGGGCGTTGGATTCTGTCCCAGTTGCTCCTCTTCCAGTCCAGCTCTCTGCTGTGGCCCGGGAGTACAGTGGAGGATGCCCAAGTGCTTGGGCCCTGCACCCACATGGGAGACCAGGAGGAAGCACCTGGCTCCTGGCTTCATATCGGCGCAGCACACTGGCCATAGTGGCCATGTGGAGAGTGAACCAACAGAAGGAAGACCTTTCTCTCTGTCTCTCTCTCTCACTAACTCTGCCTGTCAAAAAAAAAAAAAAAAAAAAAACTATAAAGCTTGTAGAAGAAACCATGGAAGAATACTTTTGTAACTTGAGGGTAAGCAGAGATTTTTTAGGACACAGAAAGCAGTAACTAAATAGAAAAACATTAATAAATACAACTTAATAAGTTGAAAAACTTCTGTTCAGTAAACATCATTAATAAAATCAATACACAAGCCACAAAATGGGAGAAAATATTTACAATACATATATCCTAAATAACTTGTACCAAAATATGAAAAAAGAAAATAAAACAATTATTTTAAGTAGGAAAGAATTGAACAAACCATTCACAAAGAAAAGTATATTAATGGCCAATAAGCAGATATGAAAGCACTTAACCTCACCAGTAATTATGCAGATATAAATTAAAGCCATAATGAGATTTCACTCACATCTACTAGACTGTGTAACATTTAAAAGACTGATAATACCATATATTGGTAAGAACACAGGGTAACCAAGACTCATAATCGGTAATGGGAGCATAAAAAAATTGTAATTCTATGAAACATGCTCAGCAGCTTTGTTAAACAGTTGTACATCTTACCCAGGACCCAGAAACCCCACTTACAGGTATTTACTTAAAATATAAATCCTGTACATGGATGTCTACTGCAGCTTTCTTTATAATGGCCATAAACTGGCAACAACCTAAATGAACATCACACACAGTACAACGGGTAAACTGTGGTATTACAACAGACCACTACTCAACCATAAGAAGAATGAACTACTAATTAACAAAATGATGTGGATGAATCTCACAGATATGTCAACAAAAGAAACTGGATATAAGAGAACGCACACTGGTCTGGGTGATGTGATGCAGTAAGTTAAACAGCCACTAGGGCACTCAGGAATTCAGTCCCACCTCCACTTCTGATCTAGCTTCCTGCTAATGCACTTGGGAGGCAGTAGACTATGGCTCAAATACTTGAGTTCCTGCCACCCTTCTGGGAGACTTGGATGGAATTCCTGGCCCCTGGCTTTGGCCTGTCCAGCCCAGGCTATTGTGGACATTTGGGGAAAGAATCAATGGATGGAAAAGTCCATTCTTCCCAGCCCCCATTTCTCTGTACTTCAAATAGATAAAAATGAATAAATAAACATTTAAAAGAGTACATATGCCAAATATATGGAGCTCTAAGCCTGACAAAATTAATCTTTAACAGGAAAGAAGTCATAGAAACAATTCTCAGTGGTACAGGGCAGTATTATTCAGAAAAGGGAACAGGATACTTCAGGGGTGACAGAAACTTTTTAAGTCTTTATAAGGATGTGGATTACATGGGTGTGTGTATTTGTAAAAACCCAACTGATTTTTCCCTTAAAGTTTATTTATTTATTTATTTATTTATTTTGACAGGCAGAGTTAGACAGTGAGAGAGAGAGAGAGAGACAGAGAGAAAGGTCTTCCTTTTTCTGTTGGTTCACCCCCCCAAATAGCTGCTAAGGCTGGCGCACTGTGCCAATCTGAAGCCAGGAGCCAGGTGCTTCCTCCTGGTCTCCCATGCGGGTGCAGGGCCCAAGCACTTGGGCCATCCTCCACTGCCTTCCCAGACCACAGCAGAGAGCTGGACTGGAAGAAGAACAACCGGGACAGAATCCGGCACCCCGACCAGGATTAGAACCTGGAGTGCCGGCACCGCAGGCAGAGGATCAGCCAAGTAAGCCCCGATGCCAGCCGATTTTTCCCTTAAAATGTATGCACTTTACCATAATTAAAGTTTACCTCAAAAATGTATAAGCAATAATGAACTCCAGTATTTGTTTACCCAATATCATAAGTCAGCAGTTCCAAAACTACTATCTGTGTACTTTAAGGAAAGAAGTTAACACACTGAAAAGAAAGCATGAGTAGATGAATGAGCGAACACATCAATGAATAGCAGTGTTGGAACTGATATGTGCCTTCTAATATAACGACCGTGAGGGACACACCACCCCTTGCATATTACCCCTCCCACCAAAAGCATATCTTACATCTAAGTATGAGCAATATTAGACAATCTCAAATTATATTCTATAAAATAACAGTCCTTGCTTCAAAAATGTAAAATTCAGGAAAAACAAAAAAAAAACACTGTGGAACTGTTTCATTTTAAAGGAGACTAGAGATAGATAAATAAAAACAACATACATTTTGGATCACTTCCTGATTTGGGGAAAAAATAGCCATAAAAGACATTGGAATAATTGGTGAAATTCGAATATGAATTATGGATTAGTAGAACCATACAAATGTTTAAAATTCTTATTTTGGTCATTTTTCTAAGAGAACAGTATCATTTTGAAGAAATTCACACAAAGGTATTTAGGGATAAATGATCACAATGTTTCCAACTTCTCAAATGATCATGAAGAAAAATACATAAAATATGTGGCAGCAATAGGCTTGAAATTATAGGAAATGTTTAATCTAGCATTTAAGATGCTCACATCCATATCAGAGTACCTGGTTCAATACCTGGCTGCATCTCTTGACTCCAGCTTCCTCCTAGGGTAGATCCTGGGAGGCAGTGGTGACAGCTCAAGTAATTGGATTTCTGCCACACATGAAGTAGGTCTTGATTGAGTTTCTGGCTCCCAGCTTTGGCCCAACCAAACCCTGGCTCTTATATGCATTTGGGGAATGATCTAGTGCATGCATGTTGGGGGTGGGGAGGAGGAAGGGGGTTGGGAGGGAGAGGGCAATACACACACACACACTCTCTCTCTCTCTCTCTCTCTCTCTCTCTCTCTCTCTATGTCTTTCTGCCTCACAAGTAAATAATAATGTGAAAAAATACATCCAAATAAAACAGCAACCAATTTTTAAAAATTTCACTACTTCCTTTATGTCTATAACACAGGTATTTTTATTTTTAATTCTGTAATGTTCCTGTTGAGAGTATCTTCTGAGTGTTTTAACAAAATTTATAGATTCACACATGTTATGGAGGAGAGCAGTGAATCAAATGTCCTGAGATCAATACTGTAAAATTCAATGACTTAATAAATGGAGAAAATACTCATAATACCAAATAGGTAAAACTGTGGGTAAGAAAAAGTATGATAGCTTCTAATTTCAACTCATTTCTTTTGAAAAACTATTGCAACTTTTTTCAACATAAGCTTCCTGATTTAACTGAGGAATGTGGAACTACAAAATATTAAATAACAGAAAAAGAATCAAGTGAAATCAGGAAGCAAAAAGAGCCACAGATGAGGAAGTCACAAACTATGTGTAGGAATAAATAAAGGAGCTCTTTTACAGCTGCCTAACGTTTGATTTGACAATTGCTCAAAGTTAACCTCTATCATTATGAAAGCCTAACTCACTGATGTTAGTTATTTCTCTATGTTTTATCCTTTAATATGAATTTAAAACCTAACCTGGCATTTCATTTTCTGAATTTTCTCAAAATATATACCAATATAAGCAAGTTATGAATTGTAAACAAAATGACAGCATTTATAGTTTCTCAAAATTAAGAACAAATAATTAAGAATCCACCTGTAAAACTGCCTGATTAAAGTCATAGAACAAGAATTTCTGCCACCTCCAGTGGCACCTAATAACTTTTACATTTTCTTACTAATAATTTGTAATGTATAAAGGATACATTTAAAAATCATTTTGGTTGCTAAGCCAAAATAACATTTTAATTATCTGATAAATACACAAGTATTAAATTCACAAATTCATATGTCAAATTGTTATTAAGCACCTCCGTGTATTATTAGGCACCATTCTAGGACCCGAAGAACAAACCCAACAGGACAGACACTGTTCCTGCTTTCTTGAACTTTCAGTTATCAGGAATGGCTTATTTAGGAACGAGGAAATACAGGTATTGGAGAAGCATATATCAAGTGAATTTTTATGAAGTCTACATTACAATGGATGGAACCAATTTATTTTGAGATTCTTTTTGATTCTTTTGAAAATCACCACACTAAGCAAA